TCAGAAGAACGAACTGACACGCGGAAGTTCCATGGAGCTGCTTGCACCGTCTCCATTGTGTCGCCTTGTGTCTTTCGCTTTGTCAAAAATGAATCCCAATCGGTAAACCAAAGTTGTCAAGATAGTTACGGTGACGAGAAATGGCTTGAGACACAAGGAGGATGTTCGCAACGAGGTAAAGCGATAGTGGTGCCATATAGCACTGCGTTCGGGGCTTCGCCTTGTGATTCGTGAGTTCTTACAGACACCGACTTGTACGGCCCCAATGCTACAGAAGGAACCTGTGCCTGGCCACGGCCGCTGGATCCGTGGTCTGGCACATGAACATGATGCAGAATAAATCAATGACAAAGACAGGTGCTCAAGTTTAGCAGTCTGTCCTATGTCCACCTGGAAGAGACAAATGTTCTTTCTTCTCCAAGAAAAAAAAAAAAAACTTCGCGGAGAAGGTACACAGTAAAGAAATAAATGTCGGCTTCAGGGGCTTTTTACGCGAAGCCCCTGAAGTCGACTTGTATGTGCTTCGAGCTGGCGGTTATTTCAGATGGCGCTGCAGTATACCATGTAAAGATAGCAAATCATTGGCCTTGGCCTCCTACGGCACTTACACAATGCGTAACTGCACCCGCGGTGCTGCCTTCATAGGAAACGTATGCTGTGAGACTATATCGATATATCGCAATGCCCTTTGTGTACGTGTCTCAGTAATTCTTTTCGTCATGCTCCTTTGCTTTAGTCGGCGTCTTTCTGGGTGGGACATATTGGGCCAGTGCAATACAGTTATGACGGTTCAAGGAAAACCAGTACCTTATGCTAACTGTCACTTCCTCCGTAGCTGCATGTATTGTTGCTCGCATTTGCTATTAAGTTTTGTTCATTCTACCATTCCAAGGAATCGTGTTGTGCTTTTAAATAGCTGGAAGTCACGCAACGGGCTGCCATCTTTGGCTCTGGATGTACATCGATGCGCCCTTGTCTCCAAGAAAAGCACCTCTGACGAGCGAGCCTCAGCATAATCGCACGTATAGTGCTCTGTATGTCGCTTCGTGTCGTTGTCGATCGGCGTCGTGGAGTCGCTGTATACACAATTCTAATGACCACCCATTAAGTTTCCTTACAACGGAACAGTGTCTGTGATGCGCACTTTGCATGTTGTATTTCTTATCAAAACCATATGTCCTGTTCACCTATTTGCGCAGTTTCCTCGCTATTGTATGCTTTACGCTGTATAAAGCAGTCTTCTATCACGAGCGCGTTCGTGTGGCTTCTCGGGTCGCATGGAATGTGCCTCGCGTCGTATACGTTGCTTAGCCATTGTTCAATGATGTGGTGGGCACCGTGGTTATCTTATCTTAAAAGTGTAGTGAGATTTTGAAATGTGTCAACTTCCATTGTATTGTCGACACCATCGTATTATTTGCTTTCATGTGGGCGTTCATATCCTGTAACCACAGAAAACGTGCAGCCATTGTATCAAAGCCTCGAATGATTGACTAAATGAAGGGAGAAAGTGTGCTGAAACATGCAGTTAGCTAGAATCACACTACACACGTCTGTGTTTTTTTATCAAAACACGACTTTAAAAATTTTGCCCGTAAAACAACTACAGTTTGTATATGCCACACTTATGTCTGGATTTCTGCACCTTAGCATGTAATGACAGTCTTATTTACCATTGCCTTAAATAAGGTGTCGGAGGGCATTAATATGAGCGGTGAGCCAATTGTCGCTCAAGGTTTCTCAGCCGCCGTGGAAGAAATAATGGCTTGCAAAACAAACAAACAGAAAACACACAAACAAAAACAAACAAACAAACAGCATCACATGGTTTTCGGCTTGTCCTGCTACTTTTAAAAACGCATATATTTAATATAACTTTCCCCTTTCCTACAAATAAAATTCTTAGCTGCTTACATGTTTGTCTTAAGCACTTTGTTAATTATGAAGGATTAAAAAAAGAGCACTACAGAAGTTACATTTTCTGAAACTGTCGGCTAAAAATGTGCTACCACCGCGATCTATCTACGAGGCACCGTTATTTTGTCTTTTAAAAAGATTGTTGAATTTTCTTGGTCAAAACAACAATATATGAGGCACGTCATAAAGTGGGGTTCTTCAGCATGTAAGGGCTACAGTACACGGGTGTTTTTGCCCATTGAAATACGGCCAGCGTAGCTTGGAATCGAATCAGTTTTCTTGAGCTCAGCAGCACTAAGCTTGTGTGTGTTTTATTCAAAGCATATCATATGCCTCTATGAAACATTATATTTCGAGTGTATTCGCACTGAAATAGCCATTCTTCGTATATTCATAGTGAAATGTAGTTTGTGTACTTTTTCAGTCTGGAGTTCGCGCTGTCATTATTTCACTCTGAATATCTACCAACTAGCCGGCCTTTCAACCCTTTTGCAATTCTTGATATATGCAGTGTACGTACGGACGGATCATATTGTTTAACACGTTATCTAAGCTAAGTGGTGCGTTGTAAAAACATGGCGTTGTTCCCGAGAGAGCTCCACGAAAAGGAAGTTTTAGCAGCGCAAGCAAGGAGAAATGCATGCTGCGTGACGCCTTATCTATCTCATAAAAGCGCGTATGTTTGCAAGTTTTCAACGCTGGTCTTCTTTCATCCGGCTTGCAAAGACCGTTTCGCAAACGTCCGCATCTCATCACCGGCGGCTGCAACCCCCTCCATGCAGTTCATGAAACGTGGAACGGCGTCCTCAACTTACGTTTTTTTTCAGTTATCTATTACTATTCCTTACTAAATAATTCCTTACTACAGGGCTTAGGAAGCCTTCTTGTGATGTGCTAATAATCATTACCACATCCACTGATGGTATATTGCACACATCTTCCTCCACGAGGTGTACGATAATGCAAGCACTTCATCGAATTGCTGCGAGAGCACTCACAGTCTTCGTGATGCAAGTGCTGTCGCCGTATACGTACACATGAGCTGCATTGTAGGAGAGAATAAGGCGTGCACAAACGAATGCAAGCGAAGAGATAGAGATAACAGTAAGGCGTGCTGCCTGTTTCTCTTCTTTCGTATCCGCATCTCAGCGCATTTTACGGATGAATCCATATCACCTCAACTTCCTGTCGTTCTATATTGAATACCAGTTATTTCTACAATCATTTTAAGCAATTTGCACAGGGATTATTGGGAAAGCAACTGGAATGTGTAACGTGGGCTCTTGAACACAAAAGTCACTAGGAAAAAATCGTAGCTTATCCATGAAGTTAATGATGATGAGTGGGCGAAGCTCCGGGGGATCAATCGGGTAACTGCGAATACCCCGCACATTGCCCACTCGAACATGCAAATGAGTGTGCAACGCGTGTGTGCAGTGTATACAATGTTTTTATTGGTCGTATATCGTATTGAGGAACGGCCTTCGCGAGCCCTCTACTCCGGGTTGGCTTCACGGTGCTGTCGTTTCCCTGCAACTGCACGAGCCTTTGCCGCCTCGAGATCGACGTTCTCGTGCCGCTGCAGCTTCGCGGGCGACAACGCGTTCACGTTCGTTTTCATCTATGGTCGAAAGAGAATGTGTTGTCTGTAACGCGCTTATTCTTCATCGCCATCAGCTACAGCATAATTAACGTACACATAATACCTTACAGATGTGTAGCAGTTACCTCGCTTATCAGCGGAATGACGAATGACATAGTGGGTGCTTCATCGTCATGGCGTATAGTGGTTATACTTGCATGTGCTGTGCCGTGATGGCAGAAAGAGAATGTGTGGTCTGAAACGCACTCGTTCGTCATCGAGGAATGATGACAGACATGGGTCGACCCTAACCGAGACTTACGAATGAATTCATATACCATCCATACCAACCTTCGTTTGCTTGCTGCACGCGGTCACATATATGTGGTTACCATATTGTGTAGCTGCTCGGCATGAAAAGCAGTGGTGCTCATCGGCGCAAGGCTCTCGTTCTCCAAACAGCGGCGCCCGTAGCGAGCACTTCGTGAAAATATATACTCAAGCCGCTGCTAAATCGCGTGAAATACTGGTAATTGTCCCATCATCCCCCGTGCGTCAGAAGAGATTCGTGGAGAGAACGGTGTGAGGTATACTGTATAGTCTTTATTTCTTGCTTTCATTTTATTATTCGCACTTTGTCCCCACATGAATAGATATCACGAGGTACGCACACGCCATGCACAAATCACATTGATGCCGTGTGCTTAACCTGTCATAGAAGAAATCCCTTGATTTACTCTTCTATTTTAAACGTATGTTTTCTAGAAGTGTCAAACAGAGTATGTTTCCAATATGTCAAACAGAATAATCGCCTCTGGTCACTTGATTAGATGTGATAGCTCACAGCAGCATAATATTAAAAAAAAAAAAGGGGGGGGTCTCAAAAACCATACCGAGGGCTTCTTGTTGCCACGAGTACGTGAAACAACAAGTCCAGCATGCCGGCTGCTCAGTTTACAGTTTTTACGGTCATATTTACGGATAATGTGACAGCTTATTACTGTGCCTGACAACGGCATGAGACGTTAATCATGAGCTCCCGACTACCGACACTTTTTTTCTATAATCAGCAGCAAGAGGTCCACAAAGCATGTGCACGCGCTCTAACTAATGCACTGTTGCACTGACACTTGCGGTGCCTTTGTCTCGTCTGTGTGTCCTAGTTGATCGTAAATGATGCTTAGCGAACGCATGCGGTGATCTATTTGGCTGACTGTTTCAAAAACATTAAATCTATTTTCCTCATCCCCTATCTTCGTCGTCGATGTCATCGTCTTTTTCTTCTTTGTCTGGAAAACGTCCTACCGACGGCACGTGCCGCGAGCTTTGGCGCGTGCCCCGAACGAACGCGCTGCGAGAAACGGCAGTTCTAAGCGCACCATTTTATCTTCGAATCCCGCCCGAGTATATACCGTACCTCGTTCACCGGTTTTCCCCAGACGCAGTTGTAAAGTACGACCGCCATTGCCCCGCTCAATCTCCCGCGGTGTGGCTTGTGCAGAGAGCCCTAGCTGTCCGACGGATTCCCCGCGCCGTGAGTGCCCCGCGGTGTCATTTTCTCGGCTTGCCGCGGAGACGTCGCCGGGAGCTGCTCAGACGGGGAGAGTGCAAGGGAGACTCGCTTTGCGCAGGACGCCGGATCTCCGCGGACCCTGGGTGGGACGACATCTGGCAACCACGATTTGCCGGCGAACACGCCGCAGCCGGACTTGAGACCAGGTACACTCTGACCTGGTGCTACAGCGGATCTCCCTCTTGGTCCGAGCGCCAACGGAAGCCATGGCCGACACTGCCCAGTACGTTGTTGCTCACTTGAGTATTGCTCTTCCATTGCCGTATGAATGTATCGTAAGGGCATGCCCACTAGCGATCGCCTGCTGCACGGTATACATTCACTCAGCACGCTAAAAATAAATGCATGCTTCCAGTTTATCTAGATACGGTGCTTAAATAAATGCAGACGTACGAAAAAATGACGCGACAGGAAAAAAAAAATATTCGACGTTTGAGCCTATCAAGAGTACGGACTTCCTAATGTATGGGCACGTTTATACAATAAGGTCGAAGTGTTGCAATATATTTCCACGTCATGCTTAAAAAAAACACACACGTAGACATGCTTCCACGACCTTCATCACTAAAACGTGTTTGTCGCTCGATAATTATACTGAAACCGATAAACGTGGGCGTACCTGGCGGCGATCACACGATGATCTCGCTGTCGTAAACGGTCACGAAATAAGTTCGCTCAACGAATCCATAGCGTGCGTCGATTGCATTACTGAGGTAAACAAGTAGCGCGTCGGCTAGGCCAGGCAGGTCGCGGTGGCTTAGCCGTCGCGAGCGGCTGCTTCCCTTCGCTCACTGTCGCGCGACGCAGCAGGAGGCCAGCAACCTCGCGGAGACGAGCACGCGGTGGGGTTGAGCAACTGGGTTCGGTAACATAACCCAAGTTCTTTGCTAACACGAAGGAATGAATCAAGGCAAGTAAACGACGAGACGCGTCTCGTAACTGTCTTGTCTTGGTGCCTTCGCACTAAAAAAAAACATGTGGCGGCCACGCATAATAGGAGCCGGGGCGCATTGTTGACAAGAGTGCTTTGCGGAATGCCGAGAGCGGAACCGGTTTGTTCGCCTTTCTACTTATTCTTGCGTTTCCCCTCCCGCACTCCCCGGCGAGCATCAAAGAGGGCAGATGTGTGTCGTGCGGCGGCAACGAACACCACCTGCGCCGTCACACGGCCGTTCAAAGACGAGAACACCGTCAGGCGGCCGTGGCCTGCGCCCGTGGCAGCCACAAGACTGTCTTTTGTGGCGTCAAATGAGCTGCTGTAACATAGTTAGACCAGCTTGGTGGTAGCAGCTAAGAGGGTGCCACAAATGCTAGGAACGTGTTACTCCACCCAAAGTATGTAATCAAATTTTGCCCCCCCCCCCCCCCCCCAAAAAAAAAAAAAAAACGTCTTGTGGCAGGAATATATTACGTTCGAGCACTTGTGGCATCTTCGAGACATTTGGAAATGGTAACGACGTTTTGTTTTTCTTCTGTTGTCATGTGAGAATTAACCGCCTAGAAGGATTACAGAAGCAAAATTACAGAGAAGCAGATTACAGAGCAAAATTTATAGGAAAAAGGCACTACCAGAAACGGTTTCATTGTACTTTATGACAAAATTAACGTGCTTTATAGCAATCTGTGCATGTGCATTGTATATATAAACATGTGACCGAAAAGCAGCTCAATGGTATAGAATATACCGAACATATCGGAAGATGTGAACTTGGCTGCCACTTGCAGTGGGCTGTCTTTGTTATTTTACTGTTATGATTTCTACATTGCAGTTTCAAAACATTCAGTTTCTGGTCTATAAACGTACGTTATCTATCTGTATTTGTCTAGAGACAAAGGGTAATAGAGATGAACAAGGTTATACGTTCTAGTGGTACACATATATAGAGTTTAAGAATGAGTTTTAACAAAAAACACGAACCATTTGGTTACCCTGACTTTTCTAATTATTGTATAGTACTTTGTTTCGAATTGTCAAAATACGTCATATTTGGTATATAATATGGGTGTTATTACCACAGTAGTGGTTGGAAGCTCGAAACTATGTATTTCTTTTCCTGACCCTCATCGTCAGCAGTTGCTGGTGTTTCTCATTAGTTATGTTCCCGATAATGCATATATCAAATCTCAGTGCGAAAATTCTCTCATCGCAAAAAGATATATCAAATTGGTTTCGATGCAGTATTTATCTACGTTCTATTTCGTGCAACATTTTGAGTCTGCGAATCGAATTGCACTATAATAAAAGTGTTTTGACGTCGTAAAAAGTTATGAATTTCATATACATTGTTGCGAGACACATGTTGCTAACAGTCGCTTGCTTTGAGGCGCGTTTGTTCATCACCGTTGTTAGGTCCGAAAGCTTTCGCCTTGCATTAAAAGGAAGGTTGTCCCTCCATTCGCGTATTTGGCCCGATCGAGGTTTCACATACTGTAAGGCTAATCGAACTTGTCTAAAAATTGCCCCCGAGTTGTGTACCTGTTAACTGTGCGTTTATTTGTATCTGTGCAAGCACATGTGTGTCAGCTGACGGATGCGCGTATGCTTTCTGAAGTGTGAGCGCATGGAGTTTCTTACTGAGCGTCGCGTCAAACGTATGCACTCGGAAGCCATTTCATAGAGCGACACTGCGAGCGAGTACCTTTCACAATAGAAGTGCGATTTCACCTCTAGGTGAAATCGCGCTTCTATTGAAAAAATTGATTCTATTGCTTCTATTGATTCTCGTGATAACGTCCGCATGCACATCTTGTTCAGTCACTCCGCGGCTACGTACGCTACGCGGAGACATGCGGTATCGTCACTTGATCGCCTCGTGACGGCCAACTGCCGCGCCGGTCGAGTGATATCCCATGTCTGGCACGTCCGGTTCTAAGATTCGGTATGTACAGGCACGTCGTGGTACAGGTCGCATCCGCTCGCGTCTTTCGCTCGTGACAATGCCGCAGCCAGCATCCACATATTTCGGATATGAACGGCCGTTGACAAAACGTATCATGCCTTTTTATTTTTTTAAACGTTTAGTGCATACGGAACAAAGCTACCCACATGCGTGGAAACAGTTCTTTGTACATGCTTACATCGGATTTTTGACTCGGTTCACGCTTTTTTCACAAGGATGAAACTTGATACACATGAAGAAAAGAAGACGAGGCGCACTGGGCAAGCAAGCTTATGAAGGAGGGTACATCCATGCCACCATTTAACAGTATGCGAAAGGAGCTGCAGAATAATTAGCCTCCGCTTGGTGCCTAGCAATCGTCCTATAAATGGGATCAGTCATGCAGTCGAACCGTGATGCCCGGAGCCGACGCACAATCTGTCTAACGAGAACATGCAGGGGAAGAGGCTATCGAATAAGGTATACGACACGTGGTAGCACGTGTAAGAAAGCGTCATATATCTCATGAGCGTCTAGCTTCTTGCGCCATTAGAAGGGCGATGCAAACTTTTTTTAGGGGAAATAGATTTTTTTCAGGTGAATATTCTTAAGAAAAAAAATACGACGTGAAAGTGCCAGCCAGACTTAGCTGCACAGGACTTGAAGTAGGGGGCGGTGTCTTATTTCTATGCATTCGCACAGCTGACGCCACTTACGGCATCATTCCTTCAGCTGAAGCACCTACTTTCTGAGCCAGGGCTTCCCGAAGCCATTGTTGGCTTAGCGGCGCGGAGTTTGTAGTTTCGCGTAGTGCGACAGTAACTGTATTAAAACGAAAGTTGAAAGATTGAAACGGCCGCAGCTGTTGCTTTCTCGCTGCGTTGCTGTTCAGCAGAACAGCATCAAAAGCGACCGCTGCTTTTGCTGAGCACCACCTCCACGAAACACGATTTCGCCGTCATTCTCTACATAACCCCTGCACGCCACGCATGAAGTGCAGCGCAGCACATCATGAATAGATCGATGCGGCGAGTATGAAGGTGTTTATCATCGCAAATAACGCGTTAATTACGGGGAATATGTTAGGGCATTTGATATAAGCAAGCCGGTCGCGCTTATGAGGTACCGGTCGTTTCTCTAGTTACATACTCCCAGTCATCCTCATGCATGCAACTGTATTGGCGAATGCCTAAGGGGGAAGCGTGTGTCGCTGCTTCCGCCGCTTAACCCGCAGCTCTAGTTCCACTTCCTGCTTTCGCCGCGTGGCTCGGAGCAGCCGAGGCGTCACTTGGCTTCAGCACCTGATCGTGTATAGACGTCACGCAATGAGCGCGGCCACTCCGTGCAGGCTCCTGTTTCCCGTCACCGTGGAGAGCTCGGAAAGCACCGAGTTCGACTGCGTGGTGATCGTCGGCACGGGCTTGGACGCCACGAACCTCCAGGGTGGCATCCTCGACAAGTACCGCGAGCCCCTCGTCGCCTACAAGCAGGCGAGTCCCTTGTTTAAAGCGCTCTCAAGTGCGTGTGTATACGCAATTCGTCGTAGCCAGGGACTCTGCGGTGATGAACGGCCTCGAGGCAGGATCGTTCTGAGTGTTTGAATAGATTGCACTCTGCTCAACCGGCGTTAATTACTTTTCTGAGGAATAGACTCTGATCACTTCTTTCTGCAGGATGAAGTTGACGAATTCGACGACAGTTGACTGAATCGTATACAGTGTGCAGATTCAGTGCGAATCTGAAACATTCGCAGTGAATTAGCGGCTACCTGTGATATTCCAGGGCGCTCAGCGAGGTTCCAACTAAAGACCTAATCTAATTGTTTTTTATAGAAAAACTGTCGAAAAAAGTAGTTTAAAAATCGGCAGATCCCACGTACAGTGGGAATCGATGATATGCGAAGCACGTATTAGGAACGTTGATATGCCACTTTAAAACGAACACAACGTTATGAGGCGGACGTAAATTCTGCCGTACACGACTTTTATGTCACGATGATCATGTTTGCGCCTGGCGTTTGTGTTCTTCGTTCATTCACGTCGCGTAATACCAAATTTGGTGTATGTGAATCTAAGCAAAACGGCCGCGCACACGCTACAATCGTATACATGTAGTCATGTTCTACATGACACGCACATCATGATTATCACGTTTGGACGTGCCATTTACCTTCTTCGTCCATTCACGACACATAATACCAAAATTTGTATATGTGAAGCTAGCGAAACAGCTGCGAGCGCATCATGAGCGTGGTATGTAGGCATGTTCTTGCATGTCACGCATGTCACGATTATCATGTTTGCGCCCGTCATATAATTTTGTCATCCATTCACGTCATGAGCGTAACACTGAATTTGGTATATGGGAAGCTAGCGAAACGACCACGAGTGCACTATGAGCGTAGCATGTAGTCATGCTCTACATGACACGCAGGTCATGATTATCATGTTTGAACGTGTCATTTACCTTTCTGGTCCATTCGCATCTCGTAATATCCAATTTGTTATATGTGAAGCTAGAGTGAAACGACCGCGAGCACACAATGACCGTGGCGTGTAGCCATGACTTGCATGACATGCAGCTTATGATTTCCACGATAGGGCCTGTCACTTATGTTTGCCATGCAGTCATATCATACCATATCAGCTTTGCAATATGTAATGTGAACGTAACCACCGCAAGAGCAGCAAGATCGTGACATGTAAATCATGACATTCATGACATACATATCGTGATTTGCATTTTATGACTAGTCACTTATGCTTGTCATACAGTCATGTTACACCATACCAATTCTGGTATCGATTCCATTATCAAAACGGCCAGGAAAGCTAAAAGTCGTAGGTGGCTAGATATATATATAGATAGACAAACGCGGTCCAAATCGCCGAAGTTCGCTAAGAAATGCTTTGCATTTAGAAGAGGATACGTACTTAAAGAACAAATAAAAAGGAATGGTGCGAGCATTAGCCCGTTTGGGTGCGCCCTCGTCATTGGGCCTGTCTGCGGAGGATAAATGATTGTGATTACTGCTTGCGCTGTAATTCGAAGACTCCTGCAGCCCAAGTTTGAAACGAGCACACCCACTAAACGATTTCACTTGGTATCACATGACTGTTCATTCCATTTATTTTGAATGAGTGTTTTTAATTAAATGCTTGCACGAATTTCGTTTCAGATACGTGGTCGTTAACGCTAACTTTAACAGAATCGTTTCGCGATGCTTGAACATTTGTGTACCTTCCTCTGCACCCGCGTTCGTTCCTGTCGCAGTATCGGATGGATTATATTGCGTGTAAATGAAAATGTAAAAGTCTGCGCATTAATTACAAACTTTTGTCATCATTAGGAATGGTTAGAAAAGAGCGCAATGTCCATTTGCTCACCCAGAGCAATAATTCATTGTCACAAGTTAATTAAAGGAGCTCGACGCCCATACATTCTTTCATGCATGCTTCCTTTTTTTTATCGGCGCAAATTAACTTGCAAATGACATTCGGTGATTAAAAAATCAGTCTGAGAGACGAAGAAAAGTTTCGCTTTTCTTCCCCCCCCCCCCTCCACGCCTTCTTTTTTTTTGTTCATGTTCGTTTGCTGTTTGAATTTCACGTGTGTACGAGAAACTTTGTAGCGTGTTTGATTCCTTCGTTTTTAAAATTGTTTTCGCCTTCACCTTGCAGGTAGACAAAAATGCTGAAGATGAGGTGTTTGTTCTGAATCTGCCGGAGAAGTTTAGCATCAGGCGCCTTGTAAGTATTCTTAAAGCATCTTCAAAGAGCAGTGGTTCACAGACGTTGTTTTCTCGTGATTAGGTCTATTCGCCGACCGGACCGCTCAACCGTGACTTCGACGATGTGCGTGCCTTCGCTGACGCTGCCTGCAAAGGTGTCAAAAGGTCTGTGCATAAATTTTCGTCGCTCTTCCTCCAGACATGTGAAGAGTACAGGGTTTTAACAACAGAAGCATACCACCATGAGGCCAGAATCATTATTTACGACGAGTTATCGGTGGTGTTTCGAGTAATTTCCGCAACACAGAGAAGTGATAACTGTACATTATGTTATAGCCATACCGGGCGTGTTCATAAATATGGTCGAAAATCCTCAAAAAGTGAAGGAAGCGCTATATTTGCCCTTTATAATTACCTTATTTTCTGCAGCGGCCGAAATGTTAAGAGGCGTGAATTATGGCAGTCACAAAATAAATTTAATTATTTATTTTTGTAGGAGACCTATGGTATGCTCAAATAGTAGAAGTAAAGCCCTTTTTGTGACCTGTGGTAATTATTGCACAGTGATGGGATTCGGCTAAATTCACCGGTGAAGCCGAAGCGTCGATGAGTGCAACCAGCACATGACGAGAACAGCGTCAGAGTTCACGAAAATGATCGCAGTGGCCTTATTTGTTCTCTACATTCGTTAACGTATAGTATACGTGCCAGAATAGCAAGTGAATCCCGTGCACCGACGAAACGAAGTCGATCGACGGTTGACATAACGACGTTAGCTCATTATGTCTCGAAAGATGGACTCTAATACTACCATTTGAGCTGACCGCATGTTTCTATTAATTAGCGTGTCAATTTAATTTCGTCAACGACGTCAGTAACGTGTCTGGTCACCTTCAGTCGTCTGTGGCTTGAGAAAAGGTAATCGTGAAAACAGTGATAAAATGTTCCATTTCTGTTATCTTTTGTGGCTTTCGGGCACACGTGAAACACTATTTAGTGCAACTGACGGTCATGCGCTTTCTCAGGGCCACGGCTGCAGGCAGCACCAAGCCCCTCGTGGTTCTTCCAGCCAAGTCCGGAAGCTTCAAAAGCTATGACGTGGTCACGGTCCTCGGCACCCTCCACGGACTCTACGTGGTGAGGGCATTGTCCTGAATGTATACAGCGCTATATACTAACTGCTGTTACCATTGCTCGCCTTATGTTTTCTTATTGACAGCTTCATACCAAAACTCTCATGCTCCGATCTGTCTTTTTGCTTAAAAAAATGTTGCGTTTCACTTGCAGCCCTTGGAGATTCGGGAGGACGTTCCAAGCCGAAAACAAAAAGTTACTCGGCTAGGCTTCGCCAACTTCCCAGCGACCGTGCCGAACGGCGACAAGTCCTTCAAACTTGCTTTGGCCATCGAGAGAGCCAGGTTAGTGCTTTTCGGAATACAAAAAAGAAGCTGCACCTTCTGGCCAGCAGCCTATCCTGATCAGTGCAGAAATATCTCGTCCTTTCGGTCTGCAAGCGTTTTGAATTATAAGCACACGATGTTCTGCAGGATCGTGTGCCGTGACATCGGCGGCAGCGACCCCGAGCGCATGGCGGCGCCCCGTGTGGCAGAGTATGTGCAGCAAGTGTTCAAGAATTCACCGGTCAATGTGGAGATCCTTGCTGACGACGGCCGCATCCTGAAAGAGTACCCGCTGCTGGCCGCTGTCAACAGAGCTACGAAAAGTATGCTACATCACGCTGCGCTGTTTGTATATATACGTTAACTACGTTTAACCAGATATATGCTCAAGGTATTTGTATATATGTGAGTTTCTCCACAAATATGGGCACAATAGTACAGGTTCATTCTAGGTGGGTTGTGGACCTGTTACGCTATCGGCAGGTGTTGCGCTGCTAAGCACGAGGATGTGGGTTTGTTTTATTGCTTCGGCGGCTGCGTTTTGATAGGGTGAATAAAAAAATGCAAGCGTACCCTTAGGCGCACCTTGTAGAACACCATGTGGTATACCCGGTATCCCCCACTATGACGTGCCTTGTAATCTTCTCGGGAATTTGACCCGTAAAACCCCATAATTACCTGATGGATCGTGCATGAATTTCTTTTTGTGCTGGTTTCAGATGTTTCAAGGCATCATTGCAGGATGATACACCTCACTTACACTCCCGAGGGGCCGATCAAGAAAACACTGTTCTTAGTCGGAAAGGTAAGAATGACTGGTCTTCGGCTTCGGCTTTCACCAGTTTCAATACTGCTGTAATGCTGAAAAGTGGACGGAGAGATGACCGCCACCGTGGGTCAGTGGTAGTGCATCGGACGCGTTATTCGAAGGTCGCAGGTTCGGATCCTGCTGGTGGCAAGCTACCTTTTCGCCCACTTTCCTTTCTTCACATTTGCATTACCAATTGCTGCTAATAACATCCCCTATACTTTCCCTGGCATTATTGTCTGTTAGTTCTCATTAATATTGTGCCTAGCAAAGAAAAGGAGCCCTTAAATTTACACTTTCCTTTGTTCTAAAGAGAGCCATTTAAAGGGTCTCTGACCGCGTAGCTAAAACACCTCTTTCTGTTCAGCTTGTGAATAGTGTGTATAGGTGTCAGCCCAGTCACAATCGTAAAATTAGTTACGGCACAAGTGCACAGCAATATCGATTTTCATGTTTAAGACCATCGCCAGACCTCCGGTTCTCATTCACGTGGCATGGAACCTCGAAGAGAAAGCCGCGCTTTGACAAGGTGTGTTTGATGTGGGAGTTTCAAGAAAGACATCGCTTCAGTATTTCTATGCTTGTGAATAATCATCTTCCATCACATGGCTGCTCGAAAAATCGAGTATCTGACAGACTGATAAACGAATCACCATCCAAGTCAATCAATCGATATCAGTCACTGCAGAGATGACTCTCAAATGGTATTTCAAGCTACAGAAGTCATCAAAGGAAAGCTCCCTTGTACTTTGGCAATATCATGAGGGTTGCCGGTTCAATGGAACTAATTCTAGCCAAAGTGGACGGCAAGAGGAAACGAGGTCGCGCGTGCAAAATGGCTTGATTGTGTGCTGGAGGCCGCAGCAAAAGTCTAGTTGTGCTTAAGGAATTTGCACGAAATGTATACTGATGACGTTCATGTGGTTTACAGTGTGCATGATCAAATACATTACCTACTATTTGGTTACTATGATATCTCAACGCCCGTTCCCAACGTATACAGGCACGCCAATGAGCGCGATACTTCGCGCGACGCCAATGAGCGCGATACTTCGCGCGACATGTATAGTGGCGGTGGGCACTGACATCTGTCCGCGTTGGTTCGCATGCAGGGCGTGACGTACGACACTGGTGGCGCCGACGTCAAAGCCGGTGGCCACATGGCCGGCATGCATCGCGACAAGTGCGGTGCCGCGGCTGTGGCGGGCTTCTTCAAGGTGAGACTCCCAGGGGTGATCGGAGCTGAACCCGAGCAGCGCCTCTGCCATCAGCGCCTTCGCGCTCTAACGCGGTCACCCGCGCTTACACCACGTGGAAGTGTGAATGCGCAGATTGCGTACTGTGCGACGATACACTAACGTCGTTGTTGCGAGTACAAAAAATATCCAAGGGTCTCTTACACTATGGCCAAGGTGGCTCGAAGGCCTTAGTGGCGTATTCTCGGAGTTCAACGAGCAGTGTGGCTCGTCGCGTATAATTTCGTTAGGGTGCCTCGATGCGTGCGAGCATCGAGGCACTGTAAATTTATTGCTTGTCGAGCCCCCTCTAGCATTGCGCCTCCTCGGCCAACGCCTTCGAGGAGGCCTATACATAATTCCCTGGCTAAGCGTCTTCCATCATGGGCCCCTTCTACGTCACTTCATAGCCGTCAGCATATACAGGCCAAGTGATGGACACCGCAAAGACGAAGTGAACGTGCAGCTCGAACGCCTCGAGCAGCGCTTGAGAGGTCACGTGATACATTTCGAATCGACACTGGCTTTTCGCTGAAAGCCACCTTCGCACGAGACATATAAGACTTCCACGTTAACAGTGGCCGCAGTAACAAACTCTATTAGAGCACAACTTTTTAATTAAAAACGTATTCATTTTAATAAGACTCACCCCAATTTAACGTTTGAATTTCTTCAGTCGACTCCCCACTATGCGCATGCAAATCACCTGATCCCATAACTTTTTTTCTAATGATCTGCCAGCGACGACCTTATTTATGTTAACGTTATAACGCTATTTATATTATCTGAATGGGCAACACGCTCTCTCTTTTGTGAGGCCCGTTATGTTCTAGCACGCATAATCACCCACTTGCTTGGCTTGCTTCATGAGTCGTGCGCATCGCATAATTTAGAGCACACTCGTTTGACCTCTCATCCATAGGCCTCCGTGTTTCTGTCTTCTAACGTTCACACTTTCGCTTTTCTTTCCACAGCTTGTCATGCAACTATTATTAGCTTTCAAGTGTTCTCGTTACAGCCTCCAATTTTGTGGCTGCATGGGTTTTTATTCGCTGAATGTGTTCGTCATGTACTATCATTTGCAGTGATCGTCGTGAGCTGATCTTAGTAATCAAGAAGTGCGCCTATACTGCGTTTCAGACCGTGTTTACTTTACAGTTTGTTTTCCTTATCACAATCCACATTGCCGTGCATGCTAAGTTCGCCAACAGATAAACGTATATGATATATGATCTACTACTGACTTCCTATCACACACTTGTTTTTTCGCAAGTTTGGACCACTTTCTTTACTTAAGTAGCGTTCTCGTTTACGTGTACAAAGTGGTTGCATCTTATAATATTACGCTCAGAACACATCATTTCTGCATGACTTGAACAACGTAATCTTCTTGATGTATTGATGTGTATGCACAAAAATATATAACGCATCGTGCCTTTGCTACCATTTAGCCACCATGGTTTTGAGTACGCGGCCATACTGGGCCGTTACTTTTTGCATGGCCGCTGTATGAAAAATCCTGCGGCCGTGCCCTTTGTGCTTCGTATCTTTAACAAGTAAACGAACAGTGTTACAGTGGACAAATTCACGTGAAAATAGTCGTGTTCGTGCGTACGATGTTTGATGGCCTTATTAATTCACGTCGTGACATACAAAAACAAGGCAACATCTGCTTTACAGCCCAAAATGACGGCCCCCAGATGTTTTACGGGATATGGTCCATACGAGCATAATTTTTGAGATCAGTGTATCGACGAATAACAGCAGAGCATTGAATGCACAATCAAAACAAGTCGGATATTTTTTTGATAACTGCGTATCACTTGTCAAGCTTCCTTCGTTTCATACCGGGCGTCGGCAACCCGAGGCCCGCGAGACAGTATTATACGGCCCCGGCATGACGTCAGAAGCACTTGTCACTTCCTTTTGCAAGGTCGACTTGACATTTTGTCCTCAAATTGGGTTTTCACTAACAACCTGCGTTTGTATATTGTAATTTTGGGACATGCGCGCCGAAAAGAAGCGTCATTTCTATTCCAATTCGTACAATATTGTCATTACGCCAACTTTTTTTTCTTTTTGTCCCTCCCCCATTGGTTCGCCGTGCGGCCCCGCTGTGTCTGCTTAAAGTGGCCCTTCGCCTGAAAAGGTTGCCGACCCCTGGTCTAGATTGTGTATTAATTCCGTTTCCTATGCTGGGCGTAGTGGCTCAGTGTTATGACGTACTGCTGCTGAGCTCATTCGGGGTTGCGAGTTCGATTCCTGCCATGGTGGACACATTAAGACGAGTATGAAATGTAGAAACGTTCGTTCACCCAAATTTAGGCTCGCTTTAAACTCCGTTGCATGCAGTAATTCAAGATTAATATGCATCTACCACTATACGAGATATACTGTTGATTATTGTCGCTAAAGGGAATAAATAAATAAATAAATAATAAATAAATAAATAAATAAATAAATAAATAAATAAATAAATAAATAAATAAATAAATAAAAATTTCAATCTATGCCCTCGGAAGGGCCTTTGTGATTTCTTTCATTTCTTTCAGATGAAAACTTCCCAGCGAGTGTTTATGTCCCAGTGAAGTAGATAAAGGATTGATTGATATGTGGGGTTTAACGTCTCAAAACCACTATATGATTATGAGAGACGCCGTAGTGGAGGGCTCCGGAAATTTAGACCACCTGGGGTTCTTCAACGTGCACCCAAATCTGAGTAAATAAAGGAGAATAATCAACGAGCAGTTGCATGGTATACTCGTGCAGCATGGTAACAAACCGTATATCAAAATCGTCAGTAATTTTTCCGTCTTCAATTCCTACTATTATAGGTGCTGAGCGAGCTTCGTCCCAAGGGCGTTAAAGTGTACGGTGCTATGGCGATGGTCCGAAACAGCATCGGCTCAGGTAAGCTGTGTTCAAGGCTTATTGCTTCACCCACAAGTGTTTTGAGCCCTGATATACAATACGTGCACGTGATAAGTGTTAAAGTTGTCCCTTTGATGTATCTAACGCGCTGCTTGATGAACAAAAAATTTAGTTGCATCTACTGTACCGCTGGCAGGACAGAACAAGCTCACACATGATACACAAGACCGTTTTCTTTTTTCGTATTTCTTTAACGAAAAGAATCGAAATAGGTTGTCGCTACCGTTAATGGGGCGAAATCATAAATGTCTTTTGTTTTGCATTGGAGGCCTTCGCGACCGCACCTCGTTTTTGTGAGCAGACAAACTATAGAGAAACATACATAGTGAACACTCCTGTAGGACCCTGCGGCCCAGCCAGTGCGCTGCTTTCAGCGCCACGAGTGGTTGGTCAGGCCCGATAATATCTTTAGCATAAATAAAACAACCAAACTTTCTTCTTTTTCATCGCTGGGATTTGAACGCGTGCCCTCATGCTCCGAAAGCGAGCGTCTTCACCACTACGCTACACAACCATCCGTCCGCTAAAGGAATACATGTACAGTATTCCCTTTGTGTACAGTAAAGACGCATTCATCTAAACCACATGAATGTGCCTTTTTGTGCAAAACAAATGCAGAAAGACAACACTTTCTAGTCATACTTTACTGTTTTCTGTTGTAAAGCATCGAATGTCCTTAGTGGCACACGATGTAGAGCAGATATGAAAAAATTGCACAAATTAATAAAATTTCTTCTTTGCAAAAAATTGATGCCAAACTTGGGTATTCATTTTCCTCCTAAGGAGGCTATGTCTTATCAAAAGAATAGAAGCGAGGATGGGTACGCCATCTAGCGGTTGGTCAGATCCTTTCTTGCTGGGTCATGAAAAGGCTTCAGTGGCCACTATGTATGGTATGTTTCTCTATGAACAAACCCCGATATTGCTACCACTCGTCCACGCATGCTTTACTGGAAAAGCGGCTCGCGATAGCATGCGCCGCTGCTCAGCGATGAACCAGCGGTAAAACTTTCTCGTGCAGAGTGCTACGTGTCTGATGAGATCATCACATCACGTGCGGGCGTGCGCGTCAGGATTGGAAACACCGACGCCGAAGGACGCATGGCCATGGCGGACGCTCTTTGCGAGTGCAAGGAAAAGGTGATGCTCGATGTCGAAGCTCCCCCCTCTTTTGTTTTTGTTTCCCCTCTGTGCCGAAGTGACACTCCTCGTTGCCGTTACAGGCACTGAACGAAGTGAACCCACGCATATTCACCATCGCTACCCTGACTGGACACGCATGCATCGCTGTTGGAGACGGCTATTCGGTAAGTGTCTCGGGCGGGGTAGCGAACTCGGCGGCGCGCAACAGCAACTCCGTGTCAGCCTAGTGGTGTTGCGCTGCTGATCTAGAGGACGCGGGTTTGTTTCCCAGTCACGGTGGCTGCGTTATGATAGTGGTGAAGTGCGAGACCCCACTCGTGTGTTTTGACTGAGGTGCACGTTAAGGAATCCCAGTTTGTCAGTTTAAATCCGGAGTCTGACGTTCTCATCGTAGTTTTGGCACTAAGTGAATTGCATTCAACCTTTTTTTCCTTGTGTTCCAGATCATCATGGATAACGGCCCAGCCCGTTCGAACGCCGTGAGCGGCACCGTGCAAGCTGCAGGTGACGAGATCGGAGACATGTTCGAAGTGTCCACAGTTCGCCGTGAGGTCAGCCCTATTTAAACTTCCTGAATTTCTTTGGGTCGCTTTTGGGTGTGTCATATACGGAATACGTTCTTGTACTGGGTCGAAATCATTCTTAGGAGAACGTGATTCAAGGTGTCGTGCTTTTTTCACTACAGCACAGATGAAAACATGAACAAAAAGACAGGTCAGCCTTTACTTCGGACCTGTGTTGCCATGGCTGCTGATTTGTCAGTATATTTACTGATTTTAAATTTTTTATGCTGATTGAGTAATAAGGTTTTCGAATCTAGCTACAACAGTTCTGTATATTCTACAGAAATTATCGCAGACGTGACTACTTTTACAGCGTCGTGTTTGATTTCACATGATGCCATGTGGTGACGGAAGAGGGACAACCATCCCCTCGATCAAATGACAAAGCAAAATAATTGCTAAGATTGCGTAAGTCAGTGTATTTTCCAAACGAACAGCTCTGACACAGAATAGCAGAAATAAATTCTATATTTTTTCTCTATTAACACGTGTTTCTACTTCCCCGTTTTGTGGTTTCTCTCTTTCGCTATGTACGCCGTACGCCTTAGTTCGAGGCGTGATTATACCACAGTGCGCCCCCTTCGCTGGAATGTATAGGTATGAAGAAGCACTAAACAAGCCGAGAGCGTCAAACGAGCCTTTTAGCCACTGGTTGCGTGTGTGAAGTACTCTTGCAGGAAAGCCACTCGCAGGTTTTTGGAATCGCAACAACATTTCGCAAAATTTTACGGCAAATGTGTGAGGAAATGAAGTTTGCAAACGAAATAGCCTTCGACGATAGCTAGACTACTGGAGGAAAGTATTTTTTTCCCATGCTACACTCCTCTGCTTTTTCTCTCTGCCACTTCTCTTTTATTTTCTTGGTATACAAAATTAACAGAACTTGCCCACAGACGTGACATTCAGGCAGGTCTTTTTGAAAAGCCTTTATAGCTCCGAGGTACTCTCCCTGGAATGTGGAGGTATGAATGCACGTCGAGGGAGACAATCATTTTAGGCATGAAAATGATAGGGAAAACATGGCAACACGACGGAACATTAGCTACGTGGTGTGTACTTTTAAAAGAAATAGCACGCGAAGACGCAATACAAAGAATCGGTTATAAATGTATTATAATGTAATAATTCTTGGCGTTTAACATCCCAAAACCACGGCAAGATTATGAGATACACTGTAGTGGAAGGCTCCAGAATATTTGGCCACCTCGGGTTCTTTATTATCTATTAAATCGAAGCACCGGCGATGTAGAGCACTCTCAATTGTGGGTACAGATCCAGACAGTGGGTAAAAATGCGCAGAACTACCTCGTCTCCACTTAATTTTTATTGTGTACTTCCAAGATGCCCTTCCAAGATAAAGATCTGTTAGGGCTGTTCATTGCTCATCACGCACTTCCCATGAGCTGATCCCCTCTTAGAAAATTGCTGTGCCTGCCCCTATACTTGCAAGTGACTGCCAAATTCTCAATCCGCCCGTATTCTTCAGAAGGTGGCTCATCGTGTCTGTTTTTCCGTCTGCAACACTAAATCTTTAACCTGCTGAGTGCAATCAGAAACATTTCTATATTTAATCAGTCTTCAATCACGCTAGGTTACACCTTCAGGAAACCGGTCATTTCGGATTCATTATTACTACTCCGTGAAAGCTATATAACTCCACAGTAGATTACTAATATCACCGCTGAGTCTGCGATGCAAAAACTGTGCACAGATTAAAATTTAAACATCTAATAATTTCTACTGATATTTCATAAAAGATCTGCTACTATACACTTATGTGTCGTGGCAACACTGCAACTTCGGGCATGCTCTTGTTGTACATTCGTTGCTAACATTATTTGCTTCTGCACAGGACTTCAACTTCGTGTGTGGTCCGTCTGAGTACGAAGATCTGATTCAGTGTAACAACGAGCCGTCGTCGCGTACTCCGAGGGGCCATCAAATGCCAGCCGCTTTCCTCATTAAGGCATCGGGCCTGGACAAGGTTTGTCTCCGTTGCACAGCCATTTTATCAATTTGTATATGACGCAGTCGTTGCGCTATCAGAAAACCACTGTCTTCAAGGAATGTGACTACACTGATAAATTTTTCTATAGACTACGTTGTTATTTTTTACAGTGTTTTATTTTTACAAGCCTGTCTATGTAGTTCGTACAGTGAAAACGCGGAGGCCACTACGCTAGTGGGACTGTGCTATCCCCACGTTCCTGCGGTAATATAACTCGGACCACGTTATAACAGGAACTTAAAAAAATTAGCTTGTTGGTTTGGTCGAGATGACATTATAGCAGCGCTGCGGCGCTGTACACGACGAAGACAAGACGGGGCGACTGGCCTCCGTTCCGTGCTTTCTTCGAGCGTTTTCCTTTCTACTTTTTTCTTATTCGTTTTTTTCGCACTGCTAGATTTCCAACGTGGGTGACTGCCGTTCGAAGCCATTAAACAGTTTCACGTGGTTATACCTGGTCATACTTGCTCCCACAGCTGCGAAGTGCCGTGTGCGTGGAAGCTTGCATGCTTCCAATAGCGTGCATTTTCCACGGGCATTGCAATAGGTGTATATGCTGGCATTGCCCGGTATTAATTTCAGCCGCAAAATGTCTGCTCGTTGCCTCAGCACTCGAGCTATAGGGCCTCTGTTTCGATGCCCACGTTGATGTTGTGCCCATAAACTGGAACTGCGTTTCTTCGCAGCACGGCCTGGACTCCGAGCGACCGCTCTGCTACTCGCACATCGACATCGCCGCCAGCTCCGGACCGTTCCCAGGTGTGCCGACCGGCGCTCCCATCGCGGCTCTTACTCAGGCTTTTCTTGTGGAGTGAATCTGCGGGACTTCTTTCACGGACAACCGTTGAGATGCATTACAGGCCAGATTAGTATACGCAAACGCCAGCCGGAGCTGCAAATGAGATTAGGTCTGTTTTGTGATTCGCCCAGTGGCCAGTAATTTTTTATAAGTATGATTTACAAGCTTTATTTTATACCCATCGAATGAATTTACTCAATATAGTTTTTATCAATTGGAGATATTTTTAATCGTGTCTTTGTACTTAAGAACTAAAATAAAAATATTGGGACTGTGCTCTTCTTGAAACGAGTTGCACGTACTCGACTCGTTGATGTGGAAACTGAACAACACGTGAAATGTTACTAGGGTTACAAATAACAAAACTCTTGCGTCATAATGTTAATTGTTTTCCTCTCTCTCTCTCTTTGATGCTGATGAGAGGGAGAGAGAAGGACGGTTGAGGAAAGGTGATGCTGTTATGGCGCCCAAGGGAAAATTAACTTTACATGTTCGCATGATTACATCAGACCGTATACGTACGCCAGACTGAGTTCAAAAGCGAAAAACGTTTTTTTTTGTGATGTTACTATAGTTCATGAGATCATAAGTATGGTTAGCCGAACAAAAGGTTAAACATGCAGGCAAATGAGGATGTACGTGAACGTTAAAGGAGACAGTTGCACGGAACATCGATTTCGCCGATATATAGCTTCAACCCTGCAAAATCCTTGCTTATTCCACACTCCGCGATGCCTATCTGTAATAACAGCAGAAGCCGAGGCTCAACTATTCAAATTACACAAATTATTCGGCCTAGCTTGTAAGACTGAGCTAAATTGCGGCATCAACTCGTACTCGCTGACTGCTTCGCATGAAATCGATTCCCGGTGCGCGGAATCTGTTGGAATTTCTTGCGGGAGATCTGTTTATGCCAACCGTCCTTTGTAATCGGCGAACAGAAAAAAAAAGCCGTAATTATGCCATCATGAACCGGCACGCGCTATCGCCCTCTTCATCGTCTGATTCGCTCCTCGGTACATGGGCGCCGAACTGTTTGTTGTGGGATCGAATAACTATGACGGGTGAGAGGACGAGTGCAGAGAGAATGAGAGAGAGAGAGAAACGTAAAGAGAAATAGATGCATTGTTAGCGAATTAAGCTCGTCATGATCCGAAGGCGAACATTGTAACCAGTCGGCTATCTAGGCACGCTAACGAAGTATAGTATAGCATAGCAAGAATTCGGGACAGTGAAGTGCAGGGGAGGAGGAAAGATGTGGAGAAAGGAGAGAGTAAAGCATAGCATAGAAATGCGGAGAAAGATAAAAGGTGAAACAGAGAGAGAGAAATAGAAGGAACAAGACATCGAAACAAATGTATACTATACAGAAAGAACGAAATAGAAAAAAAAGCGATGAAGGAAGAAAGAGAAAAGGAAATAAACACCGTGATGCTGCGCGGTTTCTTTAGGCTTCGAACTACTAGTGCGAAGCCGACTTAATTATTTTTCTACTCTTGAGGTCCATGACTAATGATACTAAGAAAATCTCTCCGCAAACATGGCCTTTGCCGGCTCAGTCCATTGCAGTTTGTTAAAAATGCCATAGTTCGCCGCTATCCGAGTGCTCAGATGTTTGTCTTTGTCTAAATAAAAGGGATTGCTCCAGGATTGTCGTCACCTTGCTGCTTTTGAGTTAGCCGAAACCGGTGTGTACACCCCTATGTATGGAAAGAGGAAGAAATTAATCGACAGCACCGGTCTTCGCCGCCGCACAACTCCTGAACTCGGTGATCACTTCTCGAGCCTTTCTTTAAGAAGTGAGGCCTGGATGAAATGGCAACGTGGCTAGATGCATGATAAACAAAAAAAGCAAGAAGTTCGAATAGAACGTGAAGATTCTGGAAATGCTGCATTACCCTAGTCGACCTGTGACCCGTTATTGACCTCATTCCCAATACGTGGGTAAATTGAGCCTTGTGTAAGCACTTGATAGCGGGCGGCAATCATGCCGCGATAACGAGACATAATTACGTGCCTCATACTTTAGTGCCTACAGATACGAACCTGTGCAGTATATCAAGACCAAACAAGTACAACAGGAAGCATGATCAAGAGATATGTGGTTGTCTCACACTTTACAGGAGTACATAACAATGCAAGTTCCTTGAACCGCAGAAATACTATAGCCGCACAAAAGGAATAAATTTGAAAGAGAAGACTGCACGTGGATGGGGAATGACATAAATGGCTAGGTGAGTGAGTGCATACGCGTGTATAAGTTGTGCTGAATGCCAAACGCATACGTCACTCTCCATACTACATGTGCGCAAAACAGCAGCAAAATGAAGCCCAACGAACATCATGCGACGCATAAGTTGGATAATTCTCGTTCTTGGAGTTTCGTTTAATTTTTGAACGCCCTCGAGCAACTTTAAATAAAGAACAAGCCTCTAGTGTGTTCGCTCAGACACTGAGCCGACGTCCCTGTCGACTGTCCTGGGTACTCAGGCGATGAGAGTAAGAAAAAGCAGAGGAAAGACAACGATGCTATAGCCAAGTGATATTTCAAGTTGGTTGCCCAGTACATGTGAAGGGTGACAGGTAGCGATGATCGAAGTAAAGGGGCTGCTTGTTGTGAACCTAGAGAGCAAGATAGAAAGAGATAAAAAAAAGGAGAGGGCATAAAAGTCCTGAACCGTAAATGAAAGTAACGATTATCATCCTCCAGCGTCGCTTGGTGTTCTGCAAAGCGTTTGCAGACGGTCCAAGGCGTTCATGAAACGCGGACAACTGTGTGTACAACGTGAACGTGTGAGTGATCACCGAAGCACGCTGACACTTACTGTATGACGGTGAGAGCGGTGACCTGACGATTGATTTTATTGTAGGGGTGTATGAGTGGAGAAATTTTATCTCGAATCGAATTGTGCCGAAAAGTAGCTAAGAATACCGAATATCGAATCGAACGACGACTCGAATATCAAGTACAAAAGATGTTATTGAAAATTGAAAGAAAGAACAAAGCAATGAAATCTGTTCATGTTCTCGAGCAGATAACGTGGTGAGTGACTGCTATAGGAAGACTACAAATAGTGTTGCAGAAACACAAGCTATTCCACATGACCTGGCTTCAGGCTCCCTCACCGTGATGTTGCGATGTTTAGGGCTCACCTGGGAACGATAATGCTGTGCTTTGTTATTAGCGCTCTCGGACCAAAAATGTTCGGGCGCCCGTTTGCAGAAGCATTTTAACTGTGCACCGGAGTGGCGAGAGTTCCTAAATGAGTCGTGCCATGTGGCCGTGGTGTCTGCACGGCGTGAAGAAGTTATAAGAAGTGAAGCCAATTCCCGAAGTCTGGACGTTTCTTGCGGTGTACGCGACCGCAAGAAATCCGCGCGTTCGTTTCAGAAGCGAAGTTATGAACGGCATGACGTTTTCTCACGTGTTTGTTTTTTATGTGCGAAAATGACGTAACCTTTATTAAAATAAGCATGCCCTCGTTTTTCTACCACGGCACTAGTGATACACTTTGTGAAAGACCTATACACTGCAATGGCGTTAGCGTTAATTTTAGCCGCACCTGCAGCTCTCCCCAAGTTGCACCATTAGCCTTTGTCACGTGTTAGATGTTCGTCCTGTCCAGTCATTCGAAACTTCAAATACTAGTCATTCAAAAAGCGAGTCGAATCATTCGATTAGGTACTATTCGATTTGAATTCGAGACTCGAATATTCGCACGCCCCTGATTTATAGCATTCCGCCGAAGAGTCGTTATGGACTGGTCCAGTCTTGAAGGCACCAGAACATTTGGGCAATCCGGATATCTTTCACTTTGATAGTCAACTTGTAGTTATTCTTTCACATACGTGGAGGTCATTCAATCTTTGCCAGTATCCCTCTTTGTTTCAATTATGTCGAAACACAGAAGCACGGAACATTTTTGATACAGAAGGTTGCACTAGGTGGCTGTTCAAATACCGAAATTCGGGGTCACTTGAACATTTCCGTTGTTCACTGGCTACCATCGTCTTTTTCATAGAGGCCCATTATAGAAATAAATAAGTAAGGCAGCTTCGCGCTAATGGTACCAAGCGTGAAGGAAGTGCAAAACTGGTAGACCTTCTTTGCATCTCAGTTTTCTTTTGATTGCTTGATTCCTTAAGTTGTCTCTTTTCTGCGTCTGTTTATTTACTTTTAATCCTTTTTTTTTCTATATCGCTCTCTATTTTTTTTCTCTTTCTTGCTTTTTCCACTGAACTACAAAAAAGCTGACTTTACCGCCATCAACAATGGCCTGCGATCATTTTCGAAAACCTTAAAAAAATTTTCATGCAGGTCTGTTAGTGCAAACTGGACAGCTTACAACGATAAATTAGTGGAACTAAGACAAGCTCAAATACCCCGCATAATTAACTACGTGTGAACAAATCAGAACCTTGGTTTCACAGGTTTCTTCTAACGCTGAAAAAAAAAAGAAGCGTATTTTTAAGATTGCCAAGAGAACAGGCACTGAGGCACCACGAAAAAAAAAAAACACAAGACGTTGGAAATGGAACACTGTAATGCCATTCATATCACAAAAAAAAAAAACAATTTTATTGACACGACCTTCCCTCCCTCGTTAAAAGCAATCCCAGAAAGTTTTGGCAGATGACCGCTCCTCCGTATACCCATGATGACATAGCGTTATTAGACAGTAGAGAGAATCCTGTTGCACCGGAGGACTGCTCAAGTATGCTTAATAATTATTTCATGGCAGTGTTTACCAAAGAAGACCACTCTAATATGTCACTGCCTTCTGAAGTAAGCTGTCAGTATATGACACCAATACTCATTATCTCCCAAGGTATATCATCGTTGATCAACTTGACTGATATGTGGGGTTTAACGTCCCAAAACCACGCTATGATTATGAGAGACGCCGTAGTGGAGGGCTCCGGAAATTTCGACCACCTGGGGTTCTTTAACGTTCACCCAAATCTGAGCACACGGGCCTACAATATTTCCGCCTCCATCGAAAATGCAGCCGCCGCAGCCGGGATTCGATCCCGCGAATCGTTGATCAGCTTAAATTATCGAGTAGTTCTGGCATAGATGGCATAAACACCAAAATCCTTAAAAACACCGTGAGAGTCTCTAGCAGTATCTTGTCCTACATATTTTAACAATCCCTATCAGCAAGTGAGATCTCCGATGATTGGCAGGTGGGAAAAGTTATCATCCGTCTTTAAAACTGGTGATAGGCGATGCGTCCTTAACTACAGGCCTATATCACTAACAAGTATACCATGCAAAATGATCGAACACAACATCGCTTCCAACTCCGCACAATTTTTAGAAAAAAAAAATGACTTCATTTTTGCAGATCAGCATGGTTTCAGGATAGGACTGTCATGTGAAACACAGCTCATTAAATTCAACCATGAACTACACCACAATACGGTTCCAGACAGAGTATATTCATTGACTTTTCCAAAGGCTTAGATCGCATGACGATAGTTATAGCGCGAGAACAAAACGATGACACAGAGACAAGAAGGACACGAAAGACACGAGCGCTCGTGTCTTTCGTGTCCTTCTTGTCTCTGTGTCGTCGTTTTGTTCTCGCGCTATAACTATCGTCATGTCATACCAACTAGCCCAAGCTGCCACACTTCTAAGCTTAGATCGCGTAGCCCATACCCGCCTCATAGCTAAACTCTCTTCTTTACATTTTGATTCGTTAACAACATCGTGGATACGAAATTTTTTATTATCTCGCAAGCAATTCACAGTCATGTGGCAATCATTTTTCTGAGTTAAGTGACCTCACATCTGGAGTCCCACAGGGAACTGTTTTAGGCCCTTTATTGTTTTTAATTTTCATCAATGACCTCCCCGACGAAATTGCATCCAATATTAGGTTATTTGCGGATGACTATGTGGTTTACCGTAAGATTTTCTTTAGTACTGACCACATTGCCTTACAGCAGGATCTTGATGGGATCAGCTCCTGGTGTTCATCCTGGCAAATGACCCTTAACTCGGACAAATGCAAATTGCAGAAAGGTTTCTTGAAGGGCCAGTTCGTACATAATACTGAGGGCTTGTATCGCGTGTTTAATCTTTCTCCGCCCGTTTTGGGACGTTAAACCCCACATATCAATCAATCTTTCTCCGCCCGTTTTTTGCGCTGTTTCTCTCAGTAAAATGAAAGTTACTTTCAGTCATAAACGTACCAACTCGGCATATGATTATTCGCTTAGCAATCATTCCGTAAGCCAGATATCTGTGCACAAATTATTAGGTATTCATCTGACATCAGACTTGCCTTGGTCCAACCATATAAAAAAATAACCACAAGGGCCTCTCGTGCGCTTGGTTATCTGAAACGAAATCTCCGGGAAGCTCCGTCAGTGACTCTATCATC